GGGAATAATGCTGCAGTGAACATGGGAGTGCAGACATGATTCAAAATTCTGATTTCATTTCCTTTGAACATGTACCCATAGTGGGATTGCTGGATCATATAGTAGCTCTATTTTTAATTTTTTGAGGAACCTCCATACTATTTCTCATACTGGCTGTACTAATTTACATTCCATCAACAGTGTACAAGGGTTCCCTTTTCTCCATATCCTTGCCAACACTTGTAATCTTTTATCTTTTTTATAATAGCCGTTCTAACTGGAGTGAGCTGGTATCTTGTTTTGATTTGCATTTCCCTGATAAATAGTGATGTTGAGCACTTTTAATATACTTGTTGGTCTTCCTCTGAGAAATGTCTATTCAGATCCTTTGACTATTTTATTTTTTCCTTAAAAAATTTTTTTTAATGTTTTGTTTTTGGCCAAAAAACAAGTCTTAATACATTTAGAAGGACTAATATCATAGAAAATATGTTCTCTGACCACAAGAACAGAAGGAAATTTAGAAAATTCACAAATGTGTGGAAATTAAACAACACTCATAAATAAACAATGGTTAGAAAAAAAAATAACAGGGAAATTAGAGAGTACTTTGAGATAAAAATCAAAGCACAACATATCAAAATTTATAGGGTGCAGGGCTCCTGTACTGCTTAGAGGAATATTTATATTTATAAACACCTATACTAAAAATAAGAAAAATCTCAAATCAGTAATGTAAACTTCTGCTTTAAGAAAATAGAGAAAAAAGAGCAAAGTAAACCAAAAGCAAACATAAGTAGGAAATAGCAAAGATTACAACAGAAATATATGAAACAGGGAATTAAAAAACGATAAAGAAAATCAACAGAACTACAAGTTGTTTCTTTAAAAAGATCAGCAAAATTTGCAAACCTCTATCTAGACTAACCAAGAAAAAAAAAGACTGAAATACTAAAACCAGAAATAAAGAAGGGGAATTATTACATTGTCAGTATGGTTTTTTGTGGTGATAAATTTTAGTTTCTTTGTCTTTCTCATTTGCATTTTTGTTCTACCAGTGGGTTTTGTTCTTTCTTTTGTATTCGTGGTAGTGATTATAGATTTTTGGATTCCAGATACAGGACTTCCTTTAGGATTTCTTGTAGGGCTGGTCGTGTGGTGGTGAACTCCCACAGTTTTTGTTGTCTGGAAAATACACTATTTTTCCCTCATTTCTGAAGGACAGACTTGCTGGGTACAGCATTCTTGTCTGGCAGTTTTTTTCTTTCAGTATTTTGAATATATCATCCCCTTTTCTTCTGGCCTGTAGAGTTTCTGTTGAGAAGTCTGCTGTTAGTTTGATAGGGGCTCCGTTGTAGGTCACTTGACACTTTACTCTTCTTTTAAGATTCTCTGTTTTTGAGCTTTGCCAGTTTGACTATAATGTGTCGTGGAGAGGATCTTTTTGGGTTGAATCTGTTTGGGGATGTTTGAGCCTCCTGGATCTGAAGGTCCGTCTCTCTCCCTATACCTGGGAAGTTTTCCATTACTATTTCATTGAATAGTTTTTCCATGCCTTTTCCTTTCTCCTCCCCTTCTGGAACAGCCATGATTCAAATGTTTGTGCGCTTGAGATTGTCTGCTAGCTCTTTAGATTTTCTTCATTTATTTAAATTCTTTTTTCCTTTTTTTTTGTCCACCTGGGTTATTTAGAAAAGACTATTTTCAAGATCAGAAATTCTTCTGCTTTTTCTAGGTTGCTGCTTAAGCTATTGGTTGTGTTTTATATTTCATTGGGTGAATTTTTCAGTTCCATCAGTTCTGCTACATTCTTTCTTAAGGTTTAATCTCTTTGTAAATTTCCTCCTTCATATCCTGGATTTTTTTTCTCATTTCATTATGTTGTCTGAGTCTTCCAGTATTTCATGAGTTTCCTTAAGATTGTTGCTCGCAATCCTTTTCAGTCATTTCCGGGGTTTCCTGCTCTATAGGATGTAGTATTTGAGAACTACTGTGTTCTTTTGGTGGTGTCATATTTTCTTGTGTTTTCATATGTCTAGTATCTCTGTGTTGATGTCAGGTCATCAGGTAGATGCTTCTTCTATTACTCTGGAGTGGGCTTCGAGGAGAGAGACATCCTCTTCCTTTTCCAGTCTCCACTGGTGACTCTCCTTGTGTCAGCTCAGTCAAGTGTTTGGCATGCTGCCTGCATGGTGGCTATGGCTACTGCTCTGGCATAGGGCTGCTTTTGTGGCAGCCGTGGCTGTGGTGGCAGCTGCAGTGAACCATCCACATAGAAGTAGTGTTTTGGGCTCTCTTGCCTGCTTCTGGGTGGAGGGGGTTGGCCTCAGCTCCTGCCTTGGCCCCTGGGCATGCTCTCTTGACTGCT